CTTGCTGATTCGGGTTTTAAAAAAAATATTTTTTGTTTATGCAAACATCAGCATTACCTGCCAATGGGGTTGCCTCCAAAGCAATAGCCGCCAAAGGCAGCAAAATAAAGACGCTTTTCACGACAGACATGTTGTGCTTGAGTTGTGTTTAAAAAAGCAATAAGATATGAGTAATCATTGGATCTCAATGCTCATAAAACAGGTGTTTATGTCGCGACCCTGAATTTCATTCATTCCTATCACTTTTGGCTTCATCCTCAGTGATCGCTTTAGCAAGGTTTATAACATAACCAAAGTAAAGCGCGCGCTCTGATTGGTCAATTTAGCGTTCCCCATTTGCCCATGGGTGTACGCTGCTGACGTGAGCAAATGCAAAGACTATTTTTCCGCGCGCGCTTGTTTTTTCTGGTCGCGTAAGATTTGTTAAATAAACGGGAACTCTTTAGCTACAATGTATCAATGTTATGTTATAAAACAAATGGTAAACACCACAGCGTACACTATTGAGTTATGGATGCACTTGGGAGGTTTGCTAAGCACTCAAGAAGCTAGAGTCGCTCTCGGCTATCGCCTCGAGCGACTCTTACGCTTCTTTCGTGCTTAGCAACCTCCCGCGTGCATCCATAACTCAATAGTGTACGCTGTGGTGTTTACCATTTGTTAATTAGTTGAATTTATCACTTTTCTCAAACTCTCCTTGAGTACATGTAAGATAATGCCCGTATGTATGTATACTTTTCAGTACAGAGACGCTGAACTAACCATTGACTTTAAAACTCCTTTTTCTTTTCTCTTCAACGTTCACCGAGTAGAAAGTCGTAAATAGAGAGAGTTCATGTCGGGAAAGTAAAAGGGGAAAATCTTTTAAAATGTTCCTTGGATATGGCTAAAATTACTTCTGTGATAACATCGGTTAGGGAATTTTAAACAGACTTTTTGATAAGAATGAACGAAGCCAAAAAAAAAAAAGAGTTAAATATGTGTTAACAATTATCAGGTATGGATAATTCAAATTACAATAAAAGATAAGAAAACAAAAGGAAAAAAGACAAACACACAACGTGGCAGTGGTGAAGGTCTTTGGAAAGCCTTATATTCAGTACTAAATAAGTAGTGAAAACTGAGAGTCTTAATCGTTTTCTTGGACACAAAATTAAAGAACCTTACGTTCACTGGTACGGTGAACTTTAGGGGGAAGATACATTTGCTCGCCGCATGGATGACTATCTTAAACTAGTGAATGCATTAAAAAAGTAAAAAGAGAATTAAAAGGTTTTTTCCAAGCCACGTAGCGAAAAAATACAAATGAACTGCCTTACTTCGGTTTGTTAGCCCCCAATCGAGCTAAGTCAGAATGAGCCTCATGATATTAAGTATTTTTCCACTAAGTTACAGCCAACTGTGTGAATCAGTTTAACCAGGGAAAAACAATATAACGTTTATTCATTGGCCAAAATTTCCCTCACAGGGCCCTGTGGTCAATATTCGCGGCTTTTATTCTATCTTTTTACTTCTTTTTGGAAAACAATACTACCATCGTTACACCACTTGTTTATGTTCTCGGGTACAAATACGTTTTGGGTCCGACTTAGAGTCGTTGCCCAAGTGTGAGGCGAAGGTTAAAATGAGCTCTCAGAGGGGTCCAAAACATGTTAATAATATCCAAGCATGCACTGTATTATAATTATTGTAACTTTGGAAGGCATTGAGAGAATAGGGAATACGAGCTGAAAAAAAAATTACAACAGCAAAACAGTCTAAACAATCACGCAATCATGCCATGGTGCGAGCTAAGATACATTTTAGGCCGCCAGAACTTCCATTTTAGCACACCAAAATGTGCCACAATGTCAGACAAAGGGATAATAATTAGCATTGTGATGAAAAGTAGCTGGAGAAACTGCATTCCGTTGAGTCTCTCTCGCCTCCTTGGATGACATGTCATACTGGAGTATAGATTTTCGAAATAGGGAGCAACAAGTTCGAATCTGAAAGGAAAAAAAAACTGAAAGAAAGGGGGGAATCATGGCCTTATACTTCTCTTTTACTCGTAATTCATCTTTTCTCGCGTAAGAGTTTCTCTCCTCCGATCCGAAAAGTCTTGGAAACATATACCGAGAGCTTTTTTTGTGCATGATATTGATCGAGGACAACACCACCGTAGTGATCCTAAAATTCGATATTGCAGAAGAGACGCAACTCGTGCTTTCGTGAAGGAAGCAAGAAATTGACAGCTGTGCAAAACATTTTCTTTCCTGCTTTAATTTTGTCGTGTTTTTTCTTTTCTCTGATTTAAACGCAGACTGCCGGTCGTCAAATGCCATTTGAGCATGCGCGTCCATTGGCCAATAGAAAACGTATCAGATGAGGTCATGTGGTTCAATTTCGTTTTCTACACCATGTCGAGGCTTAAACACGAAGGCGCGCTATAAAAGGAGAGGTCCCCCAGGCGCCTGGTAGACGAACAAAAGGAGCTAACGAGACGTTTACTTCCCCCAGCATGGTGGCAATGATTTAACGTGCGAACCACCAACTTGGATTTCAAATTTACCGCCACAAATAAAGACAGTTTCCATTAGAGAAAGGAAATATAAATCTAAAAATTCTTGTATTGTGATGAAAACATTGTGAGGAATGCGCCCGCTGTTCACTGCTTTGGAGTTGCTATAGCTCAAGCTGACTTGACTCTTAGAGTTCTACATCACACGACGGTTGATTGAAAAATTGTCTAGAGATACCTAAGGCACCTCTCCTTTTATAGCGCGCCTTCGTGTTTAAGGATCTCTGAGGGCATTGGATGAATATCGGTTAGGTTATTACGATTTCTTTAGATTATTTTCTATTGTTGACTCGGGAATTAAATTCATTGTATCGAACAGTTATTGACTTTATCAGAAATTGGGCAAACTAACTGAAATTAAACAAATTAATGAGAATTCTTACTTCAATTAATAGTAATTTTCCAGTCGACTTAAAATTAATCATCGTCACTTTTCTTTGAAGCTATCGACGCCACGTTAATTAACATTGGATTCACTGTTGGTATTACGCCTTAAAACAGGATTTGTGATTGAAAAATTTTTTCTCTTCGCGAAACATAACCGTGAAAATTTCTAAAATAGAATATCTAACCCTAATTCTGAATGTTTGCCAAAAACCCCAAAACCACTTCCCTTCTATCTGGTTTTATTTTTCTTCTAACTCTGAAAGGTTGCCCTTGTTTTCGTGCAGATGTTTTCCATATCCCTTGATTTTCTTCCTTATTTTTCTCTTTTTTTTTTACGGAGAACATTCTACTTTCTACCTCTTTTTCTCGGAGAACGTTCTACTTTCTACCAGTTAATTAATCAATTAATTTAAGGTGTCAGAGTATGGAAATGTTTTGCCAACTGTTATTTCGCGTTTATAAATGTTATTCATAGATAAATAGAGCCATAGCACCCACCTCCGTGAAGTTAGAGGTAGTAGTGACGTACAAAGGTGACAATAAACCATGGGGACTGTTGTATCCAGTACAAACCGATACTCAAACTTAAACAAGACGGCTGAACCAGACGTTAGTATCAAAAGCGGGACAGAAAGCAAAGAGGCTCAAGTACAGCCCCATACATCAACGCTGGTAAACATCGACGAAAGAAATGAAACTTGTGCAAGCAGTAAACCGGATTTTTCTGCTCCAAAAGTGATCCCGTCCTACTCTTGGCTGATCTCAACACCTGTTGATTTGGAAACCGCTGCTCAAGACTTGAGTGAAAGTGCGAAACATTACGTGCCGTCAAAGAGCGAGAAGAAAAACTCTGTAGAAAAATATCACAATCGGAAAGGTTCCAAAAGTACTGCGGAGACACAGTGGTTGTACTATCATCCTCGAGCATGAAACAAAAGATACCGAGGTGCCAGCCTGGTGCGCCGGCCCGTGCGGCTCGTAAAGCAAACAAAATGGTAATCCATATAAGCCCGTCACTAACTCCAGAACTGAGTTGCATGCAGTGTAGATAACTTGTCGCTAAGACGTAGCAGTGTTCCTCTTGGTTTTGGAGTAGAGAGATCAGTGACCTATCCGGGATCCTTCCACTAAGATTCCGCAAAAAGTAAAGAGGTCCTTTGCAGAGAAAAAAAATCTGCTTAAAACCGAAAAGGGAACAAAACTGTTTCAGGAAAAGTCTCTCTAAGACTTCTGTGCGTGCATGCTCTCGTACTTGGAAGTGATGTAACCATGCGGTCTTGGTTTTGTTGATGATGATGATGATGATGATGAACTTTATTAATGTGTCAATTATAAAATAGCAGTAATAAAACCACTAAGTACAAACACAACAAGATCATTTAAATAAAATAATAAATATCTAAGTATTAATATACGATTAAATAGCATAAAATAAACGAATAAATAGCATAAAATGTGTGGTCAGCAGAATTAGGCTAGGGGACCTTAAGACGTGGGGGGAGGGGGGGGGAGGAATAGTCTGAGCTTAACTAAGATATGTTATCATTTCCATAAAAATGTTATGAAATTATATGAGAATAACTTTCGTAGCACAGAAGGAAATCATAGAATGGTTGTAAATCACTATCATACGATCGCATAGTTGTGTATTTTTAACAATTATTCCACGAGCGCGCGTTGGATATGAGATGATAGATAGCCAACGAGGCGCGTAGCTCCGTGTTGGCTATAATCATCTCATATCCAACAAGCGCTCTCGGAATAATTGTTTTATTAAAAAAGTTAGATTAAATGATTAAATTATATCAAATTTTTTAGCTCCCTTACCATCCATATTGGTAGATTATGGTATATTAGCTCATATACCATAATGACTAAGCCAATAAAAAGTCTTTAACTGCATTATCCGATGATCCAGTTTTTAATAGCTCCATATGTCAGTAAGGGAATTTATAACTCTGTACAATTTTTAATCCAAGTTTTTAATCCACCTCTACTTTTCAGTAAGTTTGGTTTCTATTTCTGCTTCGGTCAATCGTGAGCTCTGTATAATCGTCCCGGTGACATAAGTCACTGTTGTTGGTAATAGTGATGATGAACGCTATGAAAACCCGATAGGAAGTCATTCATAATCAGAGTCAAATGAAGACTTGTTTGTCAAGCGAATGTTTTTTAGTCTGGTTCGAAAAAAGCAATAAAATCTCCAAGGTTCCATTTGATTAATTGCGATTCTTTTTTTTTTTTTTTTTAATTCTAACTCGAAAGATAACTGAGTCGTACGATTGTGATCGTACAGCAACCGACACGAAAAGTAATTTTCGTACGATTCACTCCCAGCGTTACGCACGGGCGTTAACATCAATTTTATTTTTCAACGATTTATTTTGACTCCCGCGACCGACCTCGCCGAAGAGCACAGATTGCTCGTAATCTAGCCCTAAGCTTACCCTTAGGTCATTCGTCCACTTACGTTGATCATGGAAACACATTCTGCAATTGAAAAGCCAAAGCAGAGTTGGCGTGGGGGCAAGGGGTAGTCTTTGGGAAGAAGGGCTAAGAAGAGTAGCACTGGTAGGTAAGAATACATCGACAAGGAATGAGAAGATGATAACAGATTGGGAATTAATCTAAGCTCACCTTAGGTAAGTGTTATTGAAGAACTAGATATCCTTGATGTATATGTTGTAGTTCAATTTTATACTTGGTTCAAATTTTATTTTCCTTTGTTCTCGGTCATGTTTATGTATGATAATGAGTTTGAAACAAAGGAAAATAAAATTTGAACCAAGGATAAAATTGAACTACAACATATACAATGATAAAATGACTTTTACCCACAACGCAGGTACGTATATACCTTCTTACGCATACACAACGTACTTCACCAGAGAAACAGTATGGCGCCTGTTGTAAAGTCACCGAATGATCCCCGAGAGTACCGGTAAAACACCTTTTCTCATCTTGTCTTTCTTTTACTCTGTGTTTAAGTTCAAGTGATTAATATTTTCTTATTAGAAGCTTGATTTAATTTGTGTCTGTCGTAAAACATGCTTCAATACCTTTATTAGTTCGCGTGTTGTGCCTAAGAAAAATTATATCCATCTCAATGTTTGTTTATTCGTTAAAGATGAAGAATGTCGATGCCGTGAAATTAAGAAACGATTTCCTGGCTTGTTCGATTTTTTCACTTAAATGGAACTGAACGTCTAAAATATTAGATTCAAATTAAGATTCGAAAGGGAATAATCCATTTACCAGTAAATGCACGTGTACATAGACATGTCAACACTAATTCTATGATCACACGTGATCAGTGGACGGGAAATTAGAGTTTTCATTTCTCTTTGAATTGAGTGGAATACGCAATGAGTACCTCGTGTTTATCTTCTTTCTTCAGTTGTGCTTCTTATTCAACATTTTGATTAAACTTTTTCATTTATGAAGTTGACATAACTATAGTTGTGGGCGCCATGACTTTGAGCGACATGCCTTTCTGGTGACTTGACTGGTAACCATTCAGGGGTGCAAAGCACTCTTCTCTCTTGAAAGGATGCATTTTAAACAAAGTTCAATTTGAATGAAAAAAAAAGAAAAAACAAAAGTTACAAAGAAAACAAACAAACAAAAAAAAAAACACGGTACATCACATAATAATAATAATAATAATAATAATAATAATAATAATTTATTGATTTATAGTGTGCCTTTTAACATACCAGGTGATCAAAAGTACGTTACAACAATAATTAACCTTAAAATGTACAAGTATTAAAAATCTACAATATAAACATTACATCATTTATTTATATATATGCATCTAAGAAATATTAAAAGCTAATTTAAAAAGATAAGTTTTAAGATTTGACTTAGAAGTAGAAATACATGTGATCATGCGGAGGCTTACGGGATAATCATTTGCTATGATAGTTGTTTATTTTTTGGCAAACTACCAGTGTATGACAGGACAAATGGGCAGTGTTAAGATTTTGGCATACATGACGCCATGATCAGGATGATAATTTATATATTATTCAATACTGGATATTTTTTTGCATATGTCACCATAGGGTTTCAGTTGGGAAAGTCTGTAGAGTAAATATTGTCATTGTTTCTCTCAAAATTTAGTTAGTAATAGCAACTGCACACCTTTAGATGATCTTTATACAATTACAGGGTTGTTCACTTAGACAATGGATTGAAAGCATTGTTAATATCAGATACAAACTCAGTTACTCGTCTCAAGCACCACGACAGTTCCATGTCAACAACAGATGAAGAAGATACTGAAAGTGAAGATTTAGAAGGCGAGAGTTGTGATGAGGATGATTTTGCCGATGACAAGGACGACATTGATGAGGATGAAAATGATGTCACTGATGGCATCACTGGTGAAGGTTTGGATAGAGAGGAAGAAGTTGGCAGTGAAAGATTACGAAATTCAAAAGACACAAAACTAGTGAGTGAATCAAATTTAGGTTTTACTATGTCTTTGACATTATGCTCTTATTCATGTTTATCATGTCGACCTTACTCAACTTTCCATGACGTATTTCTTCCATTCTTCTCTGTCATTCACAGCATTTTAGAGATTTTCAATCTTGCATCCTGTATCATCCAGCAGTTGTTCGCTGTATGTGTTTTAGTTCAATTTTTTCCTCTGGTTTAATTTTTTCAAACCAGTTCAATTTTTTTTAACCAGTTTAATTTTTTTAAGGCAGTTTTCAATCAACTGTCTGAAAAAGGGCCTTCATTTTTTGGGGTGTGGATTGAAAAATGGGGCTTGGCTTTTTACAGGGGAATTCTGAAAAAGGAGTAGACGTGAGATAGAGAATGAAATTTCTCCGTTTATCTCTCATCACTGTATTATTCCTTACTCTCTTCTTATCTACTCCCCTAATACTCCTCAGATTTTTTTATTATTATTTTTTTTATTCATGACTTTAGACTATAGGTGCTCTATCATTATTTCAACTCACCTGGACTTGAACCATGCACCAAAATTTTCAGAATCTGTTGCCGTCTCTTCAATCCATTAGGCCATGCTAGATTTCGTTGACAATCTTGCCACTTTTTACATTATTATAATTTATTAGTCCCAGGCTCCCCTCTGTTTGGCCAAATTTATTATTAAAATATTCGTATGCTTACATGCATGCGCATTTGATGCAAATTTGGACTTCGAAAGAAAAAATGGCAGAGAACTCATGCATCTCAAAAGAAATTTTTCTTCAAAAATTACATGACTTTAAAGTGGAACAAACCAAAAATGAATCGCTAGTAACATTGTTTATTGACGACAATGTTTTTGATGAGTCGAAGAGATATTTAAAACAGCAAACAGAAAAGTCTCTTGGACTAGATTCAGGAGAACAAACCTATTTACAAAATAATGACCAAATGGGAGATGGACACAATCAAGCGAAAGAACTGGTCCTATGAAAATGATTCGCTAGTAACGAAAGACAAAAAGAAAGTTAGATCCCTAAATGACAGCTTCGTAAGGTTTTAAGCCTTGCACACAAATGCATAAATCACCGAGGAAGACAGATATCCAGTAAATGGATCAACAAAAACTACAGCGAAGTCAACAGTAAAGTAATCAGCCTGTTTGTTGCTTCATGTCGTTTTTATGCTGAACAAAAATCTATTACCAGTCATGTGAAAAGGGTAGAAAAACCCCTTCAGTCTCTGCATTTCCTTTCTCTTGTTGAGATTGACCTAATGGATTTCAAGAACTGTCCATGCAACTGCACAGAACCTCATACCTGGACGATTAATATCGTAGATCATCATACCAAATATGTTTATGTTTTGACCACCACTTAAAAACAAAACTGCTGATGAAGTGCTGAGAGCCATAAAAACGTACTGTTACACATATGGTTTCCCAAAAATGATTCTCACTGACAATGGAAAGGAATTTAAAAACAAAAAATGGAAGCATTCTGCAAGGAAAATTTGCAAGGAATTTTTGTATTGCTTGTTACTTAAGACTCAACAATAAAATTTATGTGCTAGACTTGTTCAAACAGTTCAAGATTTTCTTGCTTGAGTACAGTGCTGCAATACATTCCCTTACCCTAACCCTAATCTTAACTCCAACCAGTAAAATGAACATTTGCTCAAATGTGGACACCTTAAAAACACACTGACTTTATTTTATACAGAAAACATTTTTCAAAATCGAGTTTCCAGATGTGAAAAAAATTGTTTATTTTCATCTTTACAGAGAACATTTTACATGTAAAACATCAATAATTAAGAAGGAGCTGTGTGCTTAAAAATTTTAAACCAGTTTGAAAATTCTAAACCAGTTTAAAAAAAGTTAAACCAAAGAAAAAATTGAACTACAACATATTATATTCTCTTTGTGCATCCTGGTACTTGTCTGCCATGGCTTGGTCTCCAGAGCAATATATCTCCTCCTAGTTAATCTTTGCTGTGCCAGTGATGTCCAGCAAACCTTGGTCTTTGTTGGCATATCTATGGACTTGCTGATAGGGGGGATACATTATATCGCCAATTGCTGTAGTTCCTTGTCCTTGTCCCTCTTAGCATAAGTGCAAAACTGTATGTTGTAGTTCAAAATGATCCCAAACAAGTATGATGTGTATTTTCCTTTGCTTAAGAATCATGGCAATGTACATTTACATTTACCCAGAAAAAAGTACAAAAACAAATAAGTGTATTTCAAGATAGCATTTACCTGGAATTTATCTTAAATTGTAATATGTATACAGAGAGGGTTGAAAAAAAATTGATTTTTTGGCATGTTCTACTGGTACATTAGAGCCTTTTTCTTCTGGCCTAAAGGCTCCTCTTACTAGCCTTTTGTCATCTGCCAACAGAAAAGTGAAAGCCTTAGTGGAAAATTAACTTGCCCCAGACTATTGGTCAGGACCTTCTTTATGCACTGGTATAACTACATAATATTTAGCACACAGCTATCAATCACAAAATAAAAGACCACTTAGAGACTTTTCAAAATAGAAACAGATGGTAAAAATCAACCAATCTCAGCTCACAGCTCTGCCCATTTTTGTGACAAATAAGAAGTTCCATGTTAAATACCAATAATTATTTCCAAATCATTTCAGTCTGCTGCAGCTCTTTGTATTGGTGCTGGTAGTTTTTCTGATCCAGATGATATCCCAGGATTGGCCCACTTTCTGGAGCACAGTAAGAGCTTTATGTCCTTTCTGTCAGCAGTCATTAATTGAGAGTACTGTATCATCATTATCATCATCTTCGTTGTCGTCCCTTATTGTAATCATGTAGACTATATGGATTTAGAGCAGGCCATGGAAGGTCTTGACATCCTTTTTTATGCAATTTTTTTCCTCTTTCAATATATTGTATGTGCAGGATTATTGTTGTTGTGTTGTTGCAAGGTGTAAGGTTCTGACCTCAGCACGATTCTTTGTGCCTATTCTTTCTTATTCTGTAGCTCCACCAGTAAGTGGTTAAATGAAAAACACTACAATTATAATAATTCTGTTCATTTTTATTTATTTTCCAAGTGGTTTTCATGGGTAGTGAAAAGTATCCTGATGAAAATGCATTTGATGCTTTTGTAAAGAAACATGGAGGATCAGACAATGCTTCAACTGATTGCGAAATGGTATGTCTTGCTAAAAATGTTTGTAAAAACTTGACAACAATGACCAGCCTTAATTGATGATCTAGAATTTTGATGAATCTGAGTTGGTAATTCTCAACTGTGGGAGGAAATGAGAAATTTTATTATTGATAATCATATTGCACAGTATTTATGAGTAAATATTTATTATCAATAACGTATTAATTTCATTAATTCTTATTTCAGACCACCTTTATCTTTGATGTTAGAAGAAAGTACTTCAGAGAAACTTTAGACAGGTTCAGCAACCACAACATTTCACATTAATTTTTTTAGTTATGTTGTACTTATCTTTTTTGATGTGTTTTTTGTAAATCTTACATTTTCTCATTCATCTACTAATTTCAAAATTCATATTAATTTGGTTACAGATTTGCTCAGTTTTTCATTTCTCCTCTTCTAAAAGAAGAAAGTGTTGATAGGGAAATACAAGCTGTGGAAAGTGGTAAGATCTAAATTTTTTTAATAGATGAACACTTTCTTTTTTGAATTCAGTATAGAGTATCCAGTAACTGATTGACAGATTAAAGCCAGGGTGATATTTGTATTATCCATTTAAATTTCCTGGTAAAGAAAAAAATAATTTTCAGGTACAGTTTATGGTATGTCTCTGTTCCATCTTCATATACAATAATGCATTGGATCTTCCCCTTTATCTGTACGTGGCAGCATAGCCAAGTGGTCAGCGTGTCGAATGTGCAATCCACGGCTCCCGGGTTTGAGTCCCGCCCTGTCCACTACCTGGATTTGTTTCTTGGTAGCTCTGATTTCAAATCCTTGGCCATGCTTGTAAATAGCCAACTGGTTTGCCTCCGGCCAGTTGGGATTCTTAACATAGTTATGTTCAAATTGAATTATTTGTTTCAGTTGTTTGCTTGGCCCCTGACTAGCACTTGTGTGCGATAAACACTGCCGATGGTAAAATAAATTTTTCTTTTTTAATTTTATTTTTCAGAATTTAGAATGAGTTATCAGAGTGATTCTGTAAGGAAAATGCAGCTTCTTGCACTGCAGGCTAACCAGTGTCATCCATTTGGAAAATTTCTCTGGGGTGAGTTTGACAACTGAAAAGTTTAGGGGTGATATCTAATGCAAAGGGTTTAGAGCAGTTTTTAATTGAGTGCTCAAAAACCAAATTAAACCCAGTGTCAGTAGTTATGGTAACCAAATAATTTGGATATATCAACAAAGTTTAAATGGTAAATTGGCCACCGTAACGATTACAAAAGCTGACGTTTCAAGCTCCGACGAAGGGCTAATGCTTGAAACGTCAGCTTTTGTAATCGTTACGATGGCCAATTTACCATTTCAACATTGTTGATAATCCAAATTATTTCATTANATATTAATTTGGTTTGATTGAATGGCACATTACATGTAATTATTGGCAATGGAACAATAGACAATAAAACTGCTTTCAAGTTTATTTTTATATTTGTTGTGTTTTAATAGTAACAGCAAACCATCTTATTTTCTTTGTCAAAACCTATCTTCCTTTTTCTGTTCTTCAATCTGCTGGTACATCTGAACCCTGACCCTAACCCTAAAACCTTATGCCTAACCCTAAAACCTTATCCCTAACCCTAAAACCTTATCCCTAACTCTAGATCTAATCCTCTGATTGACTAACTGACAGAATCAGGCTAATTGCAGTGAAAATCTTGCTCTTTCTGATTGTTATATCCTTATCTTGACAAAACCCAATGTCTCAATCATTGTTATCAATAAAAAAAAGAGTTAGTTACCCCATAGCAAGTGAAAAAAATATTGTGGTGCAAAATTACCCAGGTTAAAAAAATTTTACCCAGTGAAAAATTAAATTTACCTTAGAAAAAAAATTACCTGCAACATTTACATTGATTTTTTAGAATTTAGATGTTAATGCTTCTCTGAGAGATTTTCAGCGGAGAATGTACTCTGCACAGTACATGACACTGGCTGTGATTTCTAGAGGTAAGACTGAAGCCTTTCTTGATCTAAGTTATTGACATTCTTATGTTGTCAAACATAATTACTGCAATATGTCATTGTGTTTTCCTGTTTAACCATTACTCTCCCAGAGTGATTAAAATCTATCCTTCCCTATGACATCCATATATAACCCAGCAAACAGGTAATGATAATACTTAATCGTATCACATAGAAGTTGGTCTCTTGTTCTAGTCCCAAATTATAACTAAATTAAATTTACATGTACAAGGAAGCATGTGGTGGCCAGAGGTGAGAATTAACAATCAGATCTTGGCAGTTAAAGGGTTAAGAAATGAACAATATCAAGGCTGTGCTCTAAGGAAAATTGAATGGAGCCCGGCCAGTGCTCTGAAACTGTGAAATCCAGGGTGCCCAGCATATCCTTTGTATGAAAAAGCTAAAATTCCTGAGACACCCAAGAGCAAAAGTAAGGCACCAGAGTCCACCGGGCACTGCTTGACCACAGCCTTGAATATTTGAAACCATGGTATTATTACAATGATGAGTTTATTATTTCCTACCTCTACTCTATGTGGACCATGTCAAGACTGATTTTGTTTTTTGATAGATCACAACTGGCATAATTTTTATCAGTGAATTGACCAGAGAATGAGGTAGTCAGTTTTGAGTAGCCTCTACATTTTACATTTAATTAAACTGTTAATTTTTTTTGCAGAATCTCTTAACAGTCTTGAAAAGATGGTTAGGGAATCATTCTCTGAAATCCCCAACAAGTATGTGTACTACTTAAACAATTATAACTGTTGCAATGATATGAATATATTTATATAAATATATAGGTATGTATTTTCTATTTTTTATTAATATATTCATTAATCTGTTGTGTACTATACACAAAAAATGTTTATTTTTACCATTCTATTTTCTGTTCATTAAGATAATTATGACGAGATTTGGCATTTGAACATTGACATACAAACTTTTGAAAGGAACAATAAATACATTTATTATCCAACGGTGCTTCATAGAGGACAAATAACACACGAGATGAGTACAAATATCATGTGATATTTGTACTCCAGAGATCAGTATCTGCAAAATTTGCCCACACTGAAATAACAATTTTGTGTGTTGGATAATAAATCTCTTATTAGACATTATTTTTGTTGTGTAGTATTTGTTTTGCTAGTGAGGATTAACTAACCATGGTTTTAAACAACTCCATTTATTACACCAGCTTTCTGTCAGTCACTGTACTTTTCACAAGGGTCGGTTGAATATAGTTCAAAATCTAAATTACAGCAAATTGTGTTAGTGATATAATAAACAGTTATCCCTTACAGTCAAACAAAGATATACTTACCCAGTGGCATCTCGCAGTTTCTCGCAATTCCTCATACTAGCAAATGACTCAAGTTGCATAACCATGTCTATGATGTTACCTAACAAATTATAATTACAAATTGTTGGCGATACAGTATTGCTGAGTATTTTTACTCGTTGTTTGTATTTTGACTTGCCCTACATGCTTGTCAAAATACAGCACAACTCCTTACCACATAACAAAACGTCTAATAAGATCTCTGTACATAATTTTTTGGGTGTCAAATTGTTCATTTTTTTGTGCCCTTCATTGTTGTTATATACTGTCAGTAGTAGTTAAGTGGTTTAACTAATAACATTTTATGTTTGTGGTGACTTTTTCATCCAAGTTTGGCTCTTAATTGAGCTCTTTTTTGTTTGCTAGTCATGTTACAAGTCAGTAAGACTGACGTATGGTAAATTTAAAAAAAAAATAATGCACACATGACTAAAATTCAAATGAGCTGAACATTGAATTACCATAAATCTAGATGCCAATAGCCCATTTCCAAATTACCCCTTGGCCTCTTTTTCAAAATGAGGCCTGGTGCTCAACCATTCTTGTGAAAATGAGGTTAATGTGCATGTGAATGAAAACTTATTACCATATGAAAGGTTGAGCACCAGGACTCATTTTGAAAATTAGGCCAGGGTAATTCAGAAATGGACTATTTCTAAATGGTATGATCATAATTTTGTTTTCAGCTCACTGCCAAAGCCAACATTTCAAGAGTACACAGTGAGTACTTGATTTGTTTTATGCATGCTTATGAACAGTGCAATGCATTTTCCATGTTTTTAACTTATTGTAGCATATTGCATGTATATGTGTTGAACTGGAATTTTAAGGAAAGTACAATTTTTATTAGTGTGAGTACCTAATCATGTGGGAGTACCCAGTTGACTTGAAAGAAAGAAAGAAAGAAAGAAATATCTCCCGGCTTTCATGAATCATGTAGTTTTACATGTACACTATGTACTGTGGCATTGTTACATGATATTTAAATGGTCATTGACTGGCTAATTCAAGCCTGAAAATGTTGGGGAAGGCTATTCAAATTTGTTTTTAGTGAAAATGAATGGTAAGTTATGGTAATCTTTCTCAGTAATATATTTCATTTATTTTATAGACCCCATTTGATGCATCCAAGTTTCATAAACTATACAAAAGTAAGGTTTATAAAGGAATGTATTCCCTATGCCACTGCAAGCCTTATGCTAAACCAACTACCGAAAGTGTACCAGCTATATCGCACATGGGCTTTACTGTGGTCTATGTACTGTGAGAGGGAAAGAGTTTCCACCTACTGTAGTAATTTTCATTCCTCTGAGACACTGGAAAAGAACCCTCTTAGACAGTTACTTGTCCTATGTGTTCAAATACTGTGATTCAAAGTGAGACAACTCCTCATCAGTCTCCATTCTTCCTTACTCTTCCATTGAGATACAATTTTCTAGATGCAAAGTGTGCTTCTTTATGTAAAGATTGCTGTACATTTTTTATTTATAATTGTAAATTTTAAACCAGATTAATTCAAATGGACATCTGTTACAATTACTATTGACTGACTATTACTTTGCAGTGGTTCCAGTCAAGGATGTACATCAGCTTGAAATCACTTGGGTTCTACCCCCACAACAGATGTATTACAGGTACGAAACAACTTAGGGTGTGGAATTTGTACCAGGAGACTTGAAGAAGGTTGTCAGGAGAGAGGGATACTGAGGGAGAAGGAGGTTAAACCTTTGATGTACCGCCATCTCATCCGAGAGGAGTGATAACACTTCACAGTGTTCTTCCTTGATATGATAATTCTAGAAAATCATCTTGGATAGAGTTCTAAAAAACAACAGCACAAAATTTTTGATTAAAATTAGTTAATATAATTGGCCTATTTTACACTAGTATGATCTTGGAGTTGGAACCATTTGCAGTAACTTTCAATTTTTTTTGTTTACATATCTTTAGAATCAAGCCAATGCATTATGTCTCTTGGTTAATGGGACACGAAGGACCTGGTAGCATTTTATCCCTGTTGATAAAAAAGTAAGAGATTTAACCATAACAGTGTAATGTATTACATGTGAATCATTTACAATTATTACACATCCTGAATAATCTTTGAATCAGTACTGAAAATCAGATGCAGTAATAAGTTTTCATGTGTTTGGAAATGTGATCAATACTCTCTGAGGAGTATGACTTATTCTTTAATCAAACCTTAAATTATAGGGGTAATGCACAAATAAGGTAGTCATCAATTTCAAGATATCAATTGTTATTTCTTTGTAAGTCATAATCAAATATTTAGCTAAACTGTATATTAATTGAATTTCTTTAATTTTTTCCTCAGATCATGGGCTGCTAGTTTACTGTGTGGCAATGGAGAGTCTGGTCAAGAATATAACACTAGTTTTGCATTATTCCCATGTTTAATTAGTCTAACAGTGAGTATGCCAAAATGAACCTCACTCATGCCTGATAAAAAAAAAATTAAATTTTTTTCCTTAACACATTACAGAACTGTTCAGTGTATGATCTAACTAAGTCATGTTTGATAATTTCAGGATGAGGGGATGGAGCATATTTATGAGGTAATGTTGTTCTACCGTGTAAAAAGACAAAGGTCGACCACTTTTTTTTTTTAAGAAAATGTAAATTCCAAGCCCCAGTATATGTACTCATATAACACTGTGCTACTGAATTAAAGAACACTAATCTTTTCACTAGCCTCCTTTGCAGACATTCTTTGTGTGTTGAATTAAAAATATCTCCCCCAACGAGGGGAGATATTTTTAATTCGACACACAGAGAATGTCTGCAAAGGAGGCTACCTTTTGACCCTCCTCTAAAAGTGTCTTGCATCTAATTTCTCCTTACAATATCATACCTGAATCACTCATTAAGGTCATGAGAATAAAGAAAATAATCACCAGCTAAAGAAGCTCTTGATTGTTAAACAAATTCTCCTTGTTAGCACCTTAAGAAATGTATAGAGAAAAGTATTGAGAATATGCATACTGTATGTACATGCGTGCACATAGTTGATAATGTAGCTCTGAATCAAATTCAAAGAAGTTTGTTTTCTTCTAGATTTTGACTATTGTGTTTCAATACCTGGAGTTGTTGAGAAAAATTGGTCCACAGGAAAGGTTTGTATGATTAAACAAAGGGATAACATAATCACAGGTCTTTAATATTAAGCCTTTATTATGCAATTACCTCACATGTGCCTATTGTCTTAAAATCTAACTGATTGTTTTACATGTAATTTCCTGGAAATCTATTTGCCTATTGTCTTAAAATCTAACTGATTGTTTTACATGTAATTTCCTGGAAATCTATTTGCCTATTGTCTTAAAATCTAACTGATTGTTTTACATGTAATTTCCTGGAAATCTATTTGAAACTATCCTTTTGTTGCTTGATTTTACATTCACATCTCTTCATTATGTATGTTAACCGTAATCCATGTTATTCTTTCCATAGGATATACAAGGAGCTTCAGACAATTGAAAATAATGAGTTCAGATTTCGAGAACAGGTATGGTGTACATTTAGAGTTAGCTAGCCACCTTTTCAGGCCACTGCATTTCTCAGTCAGTAGTAAGTGGGTTAATTGTTTCCTGACATTTTTGCAACTGACAATTTTCTAGTGTGAGCCTTATGACTATGTTGAGGATCTCGTAGAGAACATGCAGGTGAGAAATTGTTCCTCTACTATAACAGAGCTCTAACTTATTTGCTGTACTTATAAAAATAATGATATGTTTGCCACAAGAATTGCTTCTAGATTTGAGTGGGATGTATGTTTCTTGTGACTATGTACATGTTTTACAGTTGTTTCCAGAAGAAGATTATTTAACAGGAGATCAACTGATGTGGGAGTTTAACAAAGAGGTAAAATTTACCACATTCTATATTTTCTGATCCAACAGAAAGTGTAAATTATTTTAGTGCATTTGACTGGTCGGACATACCTAAGTTTTGTTGCTGTTTGCAGACTAATCAGAGGCCTTTCACCTACCTTTTAAACCTAAGTATTAATATTGAATATTAATATTGATTTTAAATCTTGTTACTCTTATATTTTTATTTCTGTAGGTTATTCAGGATGTTCAAGAAAAGCTTACACCTGGAAAAGCCAATATATTGCTCCTATCAAAGAGGTTTCAAGATGAGTGCAATAATTATGAGCCTTGGTTCCAGACTCCCTACAATTGTTCTGGTTTGTATAAATTGTACATTTGGACAAAGATGATGTAGTGTTAGTTGCTATTTGGATGAATACCTCAACTATAAGATAATCTGTATTTTATTGGTTAGCACACCCTTAACTGCAACCACGTGATTATCCTTATATATCCATTCATTGTACTATAATCATTGTATTCCAATAAAGCAGTTGTGTGGAGCACTTGGTCTGATTTATGTAATACTCTATAGTAGTATAAGGAACCCTAGTACACAACAGAATGATGACTACTTTATCTTTAGTGGCTCATTTATGTTATTCTAGAGACTATCACATTTTTGTTGTTAGGTGAGGTATTGGTGCAAATGAGTTGTTGTTTGTCATATGGATCTCCATTTGACATGTCATCTTTTTCATTTCAGATATTGATCCAGAGTGGCTTGAAAGCTGGAAAAGTTAGTGTGAAAAAGTTTATCACAGTTTTCAAATGTTTTATCAGTTTTCAGAATTTATAATTTAAGAATTTAATTTGTTCGCCATGGGTATGGTAGAAGAAAGGAACAGGACTCCTTTGTACCCACCATCCCACCCCAGGGACGACATCTACCGCTCAGTAATCTCGTGCATGACGGAAATTAACGTCTCCTACCCCTAACCCTGCAGGAGACGGGACCTACGGTTTTATTCGTCCTTATCCGAGAAGACTAGAATATCTATCCATATCTTGATATTATAGAAAGGTAGCAAATTCTCCTCGGTTATTTTAAGACTATGTGTCCTGGTCCGGCCGGAGCTCGAACTCTCGACCTCCCGCACAACACAATCCGGCGCTCTAACCAATTGAGCTAACTAGGTGCGGTGTTGTCAAACAGATTTGGTGAACCCTTTAACTCCCAAGATCTGATTATTAATTCTCCCCACGTACCTTAATTGATTCAATTGATCTTTTTAGATCTTGAATTAAACCCAGAACTGCATTTCCCAGAAGAGAATAAATTCATTGGTGAGTATGTTACTTAAACCAAGAAGGTTTTGCAGTTACACAGAACTAGACATTGTGTAAAGGATTGCTCTCAAGTCTCTAAAATACATTATCCTGATCTCTAAGGTCTTAAGTTGATATAAAAGTGTAAAGTATATGCCTTGAGTGTGTGCATCATGGCAACTGTTTGAAATGGGCGGGGAGTAAAGTAATAACCTTGAATGTTTAATATGATGCCTTGGGATTCCCAAGGTCTAACCCCTAGGGCAAGAAAAGGTCTAACCCCTAGGGCAAGAAAAGGTCTAACCCCAAGGGCAAGAAAAGGTCTAACCCCTAGGGCAAGAAATTTAACACCCCTTAATATCGGTAAGTTTACCATTGAAAAGGTTTTCTTCAGTAAGAAAGTATATGACTGCTTTCAAACTGGGAGAGTCTGCAATATGTTACCCTGGGATTTCTCTGTCGTAGTCGGTAGGGTAAACAAGGTACATCATCAAGTGTCGGTAGGGTTACCCATCTTGAAGGTTCCCTTTAAGATGCTTCTT